GATAAATCATAAGAAATTCACAAAGACTTACAAATAAACATTATTTTATTGCTGTCATTTAACAAAATGTATCAAATTATAGAAATATTTCAGAGTAAATACGACAAATACTGTAAACAGTGGTTAGGGTAAGAAAATGAACTAAACTGAACTGTTAATAAAACATGTTGTCTGGTTTCTAAATGTCTTAATTTTAAAAGTTTCATGCTCTCTTTTGGTAGAGCACCTCGCTACTTATGACACACTGAGGCTTGAAGTCTTTTTGCCGTCAATATATCGTTACATTAGAATTATAAGGTTCTATCTGACATTTTTGTCAAAATTGAGTTATTGACATATTCTTATTAAATTCAAACTTATTTACATTATGGGTTGTTTTTTTAATAGTAGTTTACATTTTAAGACTTTTTATTTAGAAAAACAAATGTTACACACATGCTGCTTGCTATGGAAAGCAAAAACCTTAAAGCTCAATATCTCAAAATCATTCAGAACGCAGAGAGAACCTTATAATTCCAAGGTGACGATATGTAAATCCATACTTTACATATTCAGGTTCGTACTTGCTCTTCGACGTATTTGTTGCTATAATTATATTAAATTTCACGTCAAATGGTAGGGTTGTCGTGCATGCATTTCAAAATAAAGGTCAAAATAAGTTAAAAATTAAACTTTTGTTGTTGTTTTTTTTTGACCGCATACTCCGTGACCCCCTGAAAATGTTACCAAAAGTGGGTCGTGACCCACCAGTTGATAAACACTGCTTTAGATGAACAAATAATCTGCGCAGTTTAATCAACTAAAATAAAACGTTTTGGTTATCTTAAATCAAAAGATGATGATGAGTGATGGTCCATCTGTTTGCGTCAATTTAATAGCTTCTACAGCATCAGTACATTAATATCCTTGCCCCTTGTACAATAATACCACGCCCCTTTTACCGTTTGTTTGCTATGAGGAAATGAAGGAGAAAAGAAAGAACCTGCCTCTACTCATTAATCAGTTTCTGCTGAAATTACATTATCATACTGAAATAAAAGTCTCCGCTACTTCTGGTTCTCTCGGACTCTAAGTATATTTTACTGCATTGCATATGAGGACCTAAAAAGCAAAAACTCTTTGTCTTATAGGGATAGTTCACCTAAAATCATTTGAATACACATTTAAGTTCAAATGTTGCACACAAAAGAAGATATTTTGAAAAATGCTCATAGCTTACACCCAATTTCTTCCATGCATTGCTGTCAGCAACCAGCATTTTCCAAAGATCTTCTTTTGTGTCTAACAGAAGAAATCAAAAAGGGTTAAAACCACAACAGGGAGAGTAAATGATGAGAAGTTTCATATTTGTGTGTACTATCCATTTAAATTTCTCAATAATCATGCTTTTCTGCAAATGATCTCTTCAATGCACCATTAAACAATATTTATGAAGATTAATGACATCCAATTTATCTATTTTTGCAAAAATTGACTCATTTTTTATGTTTAATGTATGTGTTATTCAGATTTTAAGTCATTTTTTAAGTAACTTTTATTTGTGTTATTTTGAATAGTATTTTCTTACCATAACTTTATTATGAATTTACGCAATAATATAGTTCTTCATTCTTAGATAAATGACGATAGACCGGCATGGCTTTAAAAAACTCTAATAAACAACTGAAGTGTCTATTAATGTTTATAATCTTGATGTTACAGTACAGCTTCCCTTTACAAAACCTTTTCTCAATAGTATTTTCTTACCATAACTTTATTATGAATTTACGCAATAATATAGTTCTTCATTCTTAGATAAATGACGATAGACCGGCATGGCTTTAAAAAACTCTAATAAACAACTGAAGTGTCTATTAATGTTTATAATCTTGATGTTACAGTACAGCTTCCCTTTACAAAACCTTTTCTCCGCATCTCCCGCTTGTTCAGGTGGTTGGTCCACTCTCTTCCAGTTACCCGGCGGGCAGTGGCCCAGCGGGGGGTGCGAGTGGGCCGTTCAGCTGGGTCCCGCAGCAGATGCTAAGCGAGGATGCAGGAGAAGACGAGGGAGACAGTGAAGGAGAGAGTGACCGAGGAGAGGAGGAGAGAGGAGAGGGAGACGAGGCAGAGCTGGTCATTGACATACCTAATGAGTGAAGGTAATAGACAAATACAGCTGAGGCCACAACTACTGAGAGATCCTTCTGCCTGTTTAAGGGGGTGTTCTTAATGGTTATACTGTATATTGTTAGTTCCAACTTTACATGTAGACCTTTTTGTTAATTTAAAACAAAAAACTGTTTCTTTTTCAGGGCTCACATTTAAGAATGGAGTATAATATTATTTATCTGAGAAACAAATGGGGTTGATCTAATTGTTGTTTTATTTTTTCGATTTGTTTATGGTCAACAAATCTGCATTTACATGATTATAAATATAGTAAAACAGTTGTGTTGGGAAATATGTTTGCAATATAAGAAGGGTTGCGCCTTATTTAATTTCTATAATAAAGCTTTATGTACAATTCTCAGTATTAAAAATCATTAACCATTAACTCAAACTCCTAATTTTCTGCTTATAGTTATTAAGGTAGTAGTTAGGTTTAGGGTGAGGCAGTGGCGCAGTAGGTAGTGCTGTAGCCTCACAGCAAGAAGGTCGCTGAGTTTGGTTTCGGCTCAGTTGGTGTTTCTGTGTGGAGTTTGCATGTTCTCCCTGCCGTGGGTTTCCTTCGGGTGCTCCGGTTTCCCCCCACAGTCCAAAGACATGTGGTACAGGTGAATTGGGTAGGCTAAATTGTCCGTAGTGTATGAGTGTGTGTGTGTGTGTGTGAATGTGTGTGTGGATGTTTCCCAGTGATGGGTTGCGGCTGGAAGGGCATTCGCTGCGTAAAAACTTGCTGAATAAGTTGGCAGTTCATTCCGCTGTGGCGACCCCGGATTATTAAAGGGACTAAGCTGACAAGATAATGAATGAATGAATGAATGAATGAATAAATAGTTAGGTTTAGGTATTGGGTAGGATTAGGGATATTGAATATGTACTGTATGTGTTTGAATTTTATTATTATGGTATTCAATAAAGAATTTAATAGTTATTGTAACACATCATGGATTTAGTTATATTAGAATATGTTTTTATATATACAATAAAACAGCCAATAACTTAAAAATAGGCAGGAAAAAAGCCACTAGTTAATAGTGGGAATTGATACTTAAACTAAGGGTCCTATCATACACTTGGTCCAATAGGGTGCAAGACATGTATGGCATATTTTGTTGCTAATTTCAGACCAGCGCAACCCTAATTTTCACATTTTGCGCCATGTTGTTTAAATAGTGAAAGTAAAGAAGCCAAATGGAGGAGGCTCGTTCTTTATCCTCACATAGATGGTCTGTTTAACTGTTTTTTTCCACTAGTAAAGCGTTCAGTTTTTCCACTTACATGTGAATAGCAAATGTGCCATGGTGCGGCGCAACTGACTCTTAAAGGGTATGGGAGATGAGACTCTGATTGGTTTATTGCATGTTATACTCAAAACACATCCCATAACTTAAGAGAATAAGCACAACACTGTTAGATCTTACAACAGGGAGCAAACTGTATTTTTCTGTCTTTAAAATAGCATAAGAGGATTCGGACACGCCCTTAATGCTTTTGCGCCATGCACTTTAGACTTTGCGCCTAAATTAGGGCCCTAAATTTGTTTCAAATAATGTAAATATATTTTATAATTCAATTTATTTCTGTGATGGTAATGGCATATGACATTTGAAACAACCAAACAAGAACATGAAATATAAATACAAATACTGTACGGTTGGTGTATGTGTGTAGTTGCATTATGATTGTATTTGAACGGGGAAAAATCAAAGTAGAAAAATTTGAAGAAAATTAACGTTTTATATAATGTAAATGTAGGATTAAAAAAAGAGACTCATGAACCTATAACATAAATTTCTGATAATAATAATAATAATAATTTAACATTTTTAGCATAAAATGGCAGGACAATAACACTTTTTATCTTTAATTAGATATTTTTGTCTTATTGTCCTGCCAACATGCTATTGTTGGGCCTTTTTAAATATGATATTCTTAGATCATTCAGATCCTTTGCGATATGCAAGCACTTTTATTAGTTGGAAATTGGAAATAAACCAGGTAAAAAACGATTTAGTGACTCATCATGAAGAAATCTGCACTTGTGCTGTTATGCTGGCATTGGCGTTTGTTTGTATTACATATTGAGTTACTAAAAACACCTGACTCACTGTAGATAATGGATAGGCTCATTCTTTAAAGACTGCAGAGCTGCAATATGTTCCCCAAGCATACTTTAAATATAGAGTTGTGCGACAGCATTAAGAAAGACTGAGTGAGCAGAACAAAGAAGAAAAACAGACAGATTGAGAAAGCCACACCCATATTACCCAGGAGCACATCAACACTAGTCCAGGCAAGTTTCTGAGGGATCATTAAGCACACACACACCTGGTGAATCTGAATTAGACAGTACAGTGTATCTGTATCAGTTTAATAATAACACAATTGCTTATGAAATGCTATTAAATTCTGTTTCCTTTTCTTTCACATAGGTGCCGAGAAAAACTACAAGCAAAACATGATCATTTTTGTTGTTTATTGTTTTTTTATATTAAATGTTTAAAATATATCCCCTGTGTTTCTGTCTTCTTTTTAGTAAGTACATCAGATGTCAAGCATAATCTCCGATTTATGGAAAAACTCAAATATTTTTTTTTTTTTATTACTTGGGGAAAAAAAGCCAAGCAAAGATAAAAAATGACTAGCTGCAAAAAAAAAGCAAGTTTGCTATTGTGAAGGCTGGGGAATGCTGATACACAGGTAGTCATGAAGGCGTGCGAGAGGTGTGTGTTCTGGTTTGTGTGCATTATAGCAATACTGAACCGAGGTGTAGTCAGCAAGAGTGATTTGGAAAGGGAGGGATGGATGAAAGGGAGTGAAAGGGGGAGGGATGAAGAAGGTGAGATTGTGCCCAGACTCATTCTGCAAAGCCAGAGAGAGAGAGAGGGAGGGAGAGAGAGAGATCTTGTTATTGTGTAGCTGCTAGTTCAGCACTGTTAGCTGCAGTCTCTGCTCTGCTGTACCAAGGGCTTTTGGCCATGCATTTACCCAGACTCACTGTGTTGTTGATCTCTGCAGTGCTGGTTAATGGTGGTGTAGTCCGGGCAAGTTCCCACGCAGATCTCGATCCAGGCTTCCTTCAGTGTCATGACTGTTTTTTCAGGGGCTCGCCTCCACAGGCACTCTCTGATGTGGGTTTGGAGCAGAGATGTCACAGACATCTGACCGGACGGCCTTTTGCTTCACTGTTTAACACCAACTGCCAGAGCACAGTCTTCACAGCACTTCACCTCAGCTTGAATAATGGATGGGGCAGAGGAGAGGAGAGCACGGTGAGACACAATGTTTTTCTCTCTCCCTTAGCTACTGGCTTAAAGATTTGTTCGGAGTTCAAGATTTGAGCAGGTGCTTCTGCTGGAAATGCATTGCTTTGATATTAGTGCTGAGTGCTGTTATTATACAGGCACTTATGCTAAATGAGTGTAAAGTCATTGTAGATGTCTGAATTTTTTATGAAAGCCTTGCTAAACTACATTCATTACAGTTTCTGCTGAATTGCGAATGCACAATGCTGTTAAGTCAGGCGGAAGAATAATGTTGTTTATAACTTTAGCATAACATAATTTTATTCCTTTCTGATAAAATAAGGACTTTAAATATGCACCTTGTACTCTTGACATTCATACACTTTTTTTTTTTTTAAGATGAATTATTTGGGAATTTAAAGCATAATCATTTGCATTTGTATTACACAAAATAGAGGTATACTTGAGTCACTGCATGAGTGAGATGCAGATTTTCTTGTTGTCCACAAAATTTCACAAGGTAGTCGATATACAAAAAAACAAACAGGAAATGATGTCATTTAGATGACCCCTACAGACTCCCATGACTGGGATAAAGCCGATAAGTTCCTTGAATAATCAAATCATTTACTTTTTTATGACAGGGTAGGGTTAGATTATTAAACCAAACTTAAAATGTACTCACTCCCTAAGAAAAAAAATGCTATGGACTTTAATGGCCACCAGTTTTCAATAGGAATGTCCTGATCAGTTTTTTTGCCCTCGCGTCCGAGTCATTAGATTTTGAGTATCTACCGATACCGAAACCCAATCCGATACTTCTATAATATATAATAAAAAGCAAAGAAACAGATCTAGAATGTTCCTTCTTTTTTAGTTGATTCACCTTATTTTACCATTTAACTCTTGTTACAAACTGAGCACTTCTGTGAGGTAGCTTGAACAATCAAGTAATAAATAACCTAAATTCTTCACTTTTGGACTTTAGTGCAACACTAAATATATAAAAAATCTAGTATAAAAACAAATAGCACCTCAACTTAAAATACCCAGCATGTAAACAAAAAAATAAAATTCCCACAGTGTTTGCAAAGGCATTTAACCAATAGCATCTCTGCAACAAAGTGATGTCATGTCGCACAGGTTGCTGTTTTCGTGTGAAGTCAAGAAAGAGGTCCAACTCTGTTACCGCATAACTATAGATGTGTTAAAATTCTATCTATCTATCTATCCATCTATCTATCTATCTATCCATCCATCCATCCATCCATCCATCCATCCATCCATCCATCCATCCATCCATCCATCCATCCATCCATCCATCCATCCATCCATCCATCCATCCATCCATCCATCCGCCTACCTATATAGTTTTGATTGGGAGTAAATGTCCAATTCCGATCGAGTCTGAAACCGCTTGGTCGGGCCAGATTTTCGGTCATGTGATTGGATCTGGACATTCCTAGTGTCCATCATAATTCAGAATATCTTATTCTGTGTTCAACTGAAGAAATTAATTCATAACAGATTTGAACTAAATTCTGATGACCGAATTAGCATGTTTGAGTGAATTATTCCTTTAATTTAGGAATTAAAATTCACCACAAATATCATTTTGCACAATAATGACACACACAAACAGCAATGCTATAAATGTTTATCTAATAAATCATACTATTTAAAATATATATTATTCTAATGGATAAATGCTATGCTAAGTAATAAAGACTGCATTTAATTAATGAGGCTAATCTTGAAGCAAGACTCAGAACAGGTTGATTCATTCAGTCACACCTCAAAACAAACACCACATTCCTCACTGACAACCACAGTGTTTCCAGTTTTTTTCAAATTCTCTCAAAATAGTTTGTTCCATGTATAGTGTGGTGAAATGGATGTTATGTTGTTATAATTCCATGAGGCATTCGTGGATCATTGAAACACAAATGGAGATGTTTTAAATGAAATCCAAGAGCTACCTTATCATTGTCAACACATTCCATGTGATTTGTGTCATTCAACTGTAATCATTTGAAGCTGCATGAACAATTTTGTGTTCAACACAACTCAAATCTGTGTGTTTACTACCGGCACGCTAGCATGTTGTGCTGCTGACACTAATAACAACAAAACATTGTACTGCCTGTAGTAAATGCGTGACCTTATATGATGAGGTTGATAAGACATTGGTCACACAATGTCATATTTACATTTTTTTTCTGTCACACAAAAGTGTTCATGGAGCTTCGTATGATTACAGTTGAAACACTAAAGCCACATGGGATGTTTTGACAATGTTTTTGCTTCCCTTACTGAACATCAATGAACCATTGCAGTCTAGCGAGGATAAGAAAGCTCGCAGATTTCATCAAAAATATCTTAATTTGTGTTCTGAAGATGAAAGATGGTCTCAGGGGTTTAGAACAACATAAAGGTGAATAATAATAAGAGATTACAATCAAATAATAAGAATGTGTTACAATCAAATAAGAAACTAAATGCATGTCTCTCTCAATCCGCAGGAAGCCCAAGAAGAGATCAATGATGATTCCCATGAGGCCATCCCAGCACTTTACAGAGAAACCTCAGATGAGACTCCATCATCCTCACCGTTCCTCCAGTGGGATTCTCTGACAGCCGAGTTGATCCGGAGTTCCATCATAGCGAAGTGTTCAGAGAATGGCGGGGAAATTTATGTGCAGAATGGTGTGGGCGGCTTTAATGAATGTGGAGGGAAACCGATGTGGTCAGCACTGTGTTGTGCTGCTTCAGGCGGAGATGGTAGCTTCAGTTTTGGGCTAGTGAAGGAGGGGGATGTGAAAGTACTCAGCATTAAAGCACTAGAAGAGCGAATTGGTGTTACAGGTTTGTTTTCAGGAGGCTGTGGTGAAATAGGACATGAGATGGAAGAGGAACTTGCTTCCATTTTGAAGAAGGAGATGAATAGCATTGAAACACCCAATTCTGACGCACAAAGCGAGGAACACATTAGCAAGCGTAACACTCAGGAAGCAGAATCATCAGAATCAATCGATGAGGAAGTGAACTCAGAGTCTTCAGAATCTTCCTTGGGTTCAGACATGAACATTCAGGAGGACACCGAAGAAATTGAGCGCTCCGAATCAGTTCTTCTCTACATTTTGTCCACCATCGTCTCTCTTCTTTATGCCCCATTCTCTCCAATCGTAAACATAGCCACTAATCTTCCTTTCCAGCTGGGTTATGTTCTCCAGGAAGATCTGGCTGTTCTGGCCTCGGTGCCTGTTGACAGCTTCACTTTGGTCAACAATCTGGGCTCGGGAGTGTGTTCTGGAGTTTCATGCATCTTGAACACCTTGTACCAGACTGGAGAAACTAGCGTGTGCACCATGTACGCCTGTCTCTCTCCACTAGCTGGCAGCTTAGGGCTGGCATTCCAGGAGGGATTCATAGGAACAGGGACTCTGGCCTCAGATGCCGTGGGTATCATGACAGGAACAGTGGGGAATGGTTTTAGTATCATTAGAACTGTTCTTGGGTCAGTCTGGGATGGCACGGTAGATTACCTATGGGCCGTATCCTCAGAAATGGGCCACCAGGTGTCAACTGTAGGCAGTGGGATTGGCAAACTTACCTGGAGAAGTGGTAAAGGGGTGGGTCACGTGCTTAACTTTGGTGTGTCCATCGTAGGTGGAGTGGTGGAAAATACTGTAGACAATGTTCTGGAAGCTTTTGGAGGAAGCTCAGGGGAGTCATCTCAATTGCAAACACCTGAGTTGCTGACATCTGAAGTGGTTGGTGAATAGATTTGAATATATGTGTGTATGGTTGTGTTAGCTATATCTTATTTGCATATTACACAACAAATAAAGCGCAACACCACTTATCCACTTTTGTTGCAGCCTTGGTTTTGGAAGAATTTTCCCTTTTTTTTTTTTTTTTAATCAACAAAAAATGTAAATAAATGCAAAGCCATGAGCCAAACCAACCAACTGTGTAGGTTTGTTACCACTTAAAAATGATTCAAATGAAAAGTACATTAAAATCAGACAATAAGACAAATGTAGAAGATTACTAAACAGCTTTTTAGAGGGACTGAACTACAACTCCATAAAGTACCACAAATGACATAATTTTAAACAAATAATTCTAAAATTCTTCATTTAAATTGTTGAAAATATATATTTGATGGGTAATACAGATTTACCCTCTGTGATTTCTGCTGATAGATATTAATCTTAAAAGAAAAGCTAGAATATGTGGACTGATGGCTTCAACAAAATCATATGCCATTGATTAACAACTTAGTAGCTCAGTGTAGGTCTGTCTTTAATAATATCATTAGACACCAGTTTTCCTATGAAGAAAATGAGTGGGACTTTTAGTTCCTGGACCTACAGTAGTTCTAGCACTCTATTGTGTCCAGCAGACTGAATATTGACCATTTGGCGTGTGGATTTAAATCATGATACTTTATCATCTCAAATGGAGAATCATCTCAATTGCAAACACCTGAATTGCTGACATCTGAAGTGGTCGGTGAATAGATTTAAATGAGTGTATATGGCTATATGTTAGCTTATTTGCATATTATACTACAAATAGAGTGCAACACCACTTGTCCACTTTTGTTGCAGCCTTGGTTTCAGAAGAACTTTCCTCATTTATTTTTAATGGATATAAAGTGAAATAAAATTGAAAGCCATAAACAAAACAAATCAGTCAACCGTGTGGGTTTATTACCACTTTAAAAACTTTAATTCAAATGAAAGGTACATAAAAATCAGACAAAACAAACGTAGAAGACTATACTAAACCGCTTTAAAAAGACAATTAAAAACTAAAATTATTCATTTAAATAATAGAACACACACACATACAGTATATATATATATATAAAAAAAAATAAATATATATATATATATATATATATATATATATATATATATATATATATATATATATATATATATATATATAACGTGTGTTGCTTAGTGCCCCCAATAGTACTGATGTACAGCCATATCGCACTGCTACTCGTGTGATATTGCGTTTATACAACAGTTTGACGGCATAATTGTGTATATAAATACAAAATCAAACATGGAGAGTCTCAAAAACGTTTGTATGAGGAACTACTTTCGTTCGCATTGGATTCAAGTAATTAGCTGACAGTTAACAGTTGAAGAAGCATCTTTTACATCTGTAGTGTCTGCTTTTTGCTGGTTGTATGTAAAAGGCTGTACGGGTGCTGATATGACTTAAATATATCACGGCTATCAGCCAATCAGATTCGAGAACCAGACAGAACTGTTGTATAAAAAAAAAAAAAAATAAATAAATATAAATATAAATATATATATATATATATATATATATATATATATATATATATATATATATATATATATATATATATAGAAACTTGTACATTTTGCCTTAAATGGTGGAAGACCAATATTCACCTTTAAAGTTTTCTTTTTTTTTTTTTTTTTTTTGAGGGTTCACACTGTTTTTGTTTTTTAAGAAATGAAAGGTTCAGGGAGATATATAAGTGTTTCAAGGTGCTGCTGAGCGATGTTTGTTATGTGTCATAAAAATGATGTAACTGTTATGTGTTTATGCCATTTCATTTGAATTACAAATGCCTTGTTATGCCTTGGTTTACATGCTGCAATAAAACCTCTTCTCTGTGAGTCATGCTCTCTCATTTATAGGCCAAGACCTTCATCAAGAAAGTCTACAGGAATATAAATAAATATAAAGCAAATTAAAAAAGTGTATTTTTAATGCACCATCACTTATTATTTATTGAATATGATCAGAGTGAAAGATTTAGGAGGTGATTGAACCAACATGTAAATCTTAATGTACAAAAACAGCAGCACAAAAAAAATATTTTCAATATTTATTATAAATATTATAAGTCCATTGTTGAAGGATTCTCATCTTTTAAAAAAGCACAAATTATTTGATAAACAGTGTGACATTAGCATTTAGAATTTATACATTATTTTTGGAAATTAGTTAGTTTCTGTTTATTTTAATAAGTCTTTTTTTGTATAATGTTAGATATTATTTATTTGTCTGCTTGTTTATTTGTTTTCCCCTGCATTTATTTATATAAATACTTTTTAATCAGTTTAAAGGTCTTGTGGAACCCTTGCTGTCCACAGCCCTAATTTTAAAACATTTGATTTAAATTAATGTATTTAAGATTGTTATAAAATGTTTTATAAGATGAAAAACTTTAAACATCCAACATCTGTAAATGTGAAATTCAATATTAAACTGGTTGTCATTACTTTTATATTCATTCATTCGTTCACTCATTTTCTTTTCGGCTTAGTCCCTTTAATAATCTGGGGTCGCCACATCGGAATGAACCGCCAACTTATCCAGCACATGTTTTACACACCAATGGCCTTACAGCTGCAAGCCATCAGTGGGAAACACCCACACACACACATTTTTTTTTCTATTCAAAATAACAAAATGTTTTTGACAGACACTGTCATACATTGTTTTCATCACAAAAGTTATGCTATCTTTGAACAATTAAGCAATAAACTTTCCTACCTGCTTATTTCCAATGGTTTACATCAGATGGTTTTGTTTATCAGGCACGTTCTTCTGTTATTGCGTCAGACGAATGCGTTTTACGACAGTGTATGTTGTTTTACGGCATTGCCGAAGTAAGCGTTGGATCGCCTGCATGCTGGATTTAGGCTGACGTTTCCGTACTGCTGCCTACAGGTGAGTAACAAATTATCTTCAACGACACTTTAACATATTAAGACCCAGCCGTATTTGCGTTGGTCAGTAAAACTGCAAGTATGCATGTCCTCCATGTGGTTTCTTGACTTTGGTAGTCAGAGCTGTGCTGAAATGAACAGATCATACCTTTAGCCAATTAGCCGGTCTATCTTTAGACTTCAAAATACTAGAGTTATTAATGAAAAATTACAGTATAATATAAAAACAAAATGGTTACTGCTTATTTTGTGGATCTACAATCAATAAATGTACTTAAGGGGGTGTTAAATGGTGTAACGTTAACGTTAATTCTGTTCTGAATATCATCTGACAGTCTCAGGCAGTCAAGTACGTTAGTTTATCATTTGCGTACTTTCATAAATAATTCTTAAGCTTATATTAAGTAAATAAGCAGTTAAATATATATATTTTTAAAATAAAAAAGATTTGTGATACATATTAACTTTATACTTTCATTATAATTCCATCGTATTTATGGTAATTTGCATATTTTCCATCTTTTCCAATGACCCCATGATGCTTACAGAGGTAAAGGTGGTTTTATATTTGGATATTCAGACATTCTCCTTAATAATACAATTTCAGAAAAGTAATATTTGCAAATTGTAAATAGGGAAATCATATTAGTAGCAAATGACTATCAACGTACAGCACTGTTTACAGTGAATTAGATAGTGTTAATGTTGTTTAGAAGTAATACTTGCACGCTAATTCCGATCAAATATTCAAAGGAACATGGTAAACAATATAGAAACTGCCAAATGAGCGAATGTATGAATATAAAACCAACTCTACCTCTATATGATGCTTTGTAGCTATTATGGGCATAACTGTAAACAGTCAGTTAAGTTTTTCAACAAACTGGGTATGGTGATGTGGCTTTATTCTCCTCAGCCATGGAATGTTGAAAGGCAGTTTATTAGAGACCACAAATAACAAAATCAAACACATTTTTCACAACAAAATTATGAAAGAGAGTTTTAATGTTAATTGATGTATAGTTGGTTACATAGTCAAACGTTTATTCATTTTTGAACAGTGACATCTTTTGACAATGTCCCTATAATGTTTATATAACATGCTACTTTGAATATTAGGTCTGAAATGGCATGTACGTATGCACAACATTAGCACTATTTAATTGACTGAACATTGTTGTACTTTTCTAGCTATTGGCTACTAATATGATTTCTCTTTAGAATTTGCAAAAAATACTTTTCTGGAAGTGTGTTGTTAAGAAGAAAGTCAGAATGTGTGAATGTAAAGTCAACTTTACCTCAGTTTAATCTTAATGTACAACAGGCAATACAAAGATAAATTTATCTGGGGGAAGGAAACTCTGTGAACTCAAAAGAGGTTTTTGATACTGATGTCTCATTAAAATGCCAAGTATAATGTTATTTTCATGACAGATAAAAATAAAATGCAAAGAAAGCCAAATGTAGCATAAAAATTTTCATTATGCATATTGATCATTATTTGTAGCTTAACTTTATTTAGATTAATTTAATCTCTTTTGAATGGAAGCTTCCCAAACTAAAGTGAAATCTATTATTTGAAATGCAGCAGTTTCACACGGCAAAAAGTGAATTAAGTTAAACTGTTTAATTCAGCTGTGACACACATTAAAGACACACACTAAAGAAACTATTTTTTAAACTTTATAAATATTTTAATTAAATTAAAGTCCTTTAGAAATGCAAGAAATTCTATCTGGCGTAAAATATGACATGGCCAGAGAAGCTCATATGGCAATAAGCTCAAAATGTTCACTCTCACACATACACTAATGCAAAACTTGAAAAATTTATACATTCTCTAATATTCTGAAATCAGAAAATGCTAGTTAATTTAATGTTTCTCTCCTTTAGATGGACACTCTCTACATCTCTTCCCACCCTGATGACTTCAGGAGTTTGTTGCCCTTGATCGCTGCTGGATTCTGTCCGTCTCCTCCACGAATTCTCCACCAGGACCCTCCGGCAGAGTTGGCCAGATCTCGGCCTGCGCTGGTTTTAGCAGGTGCGGGGGGCACTGTGCTCAGCGGCACCAGTGCTGTGAGTTGGTATCTGGCAGCAACAGGCAAACGAGCCGGAAGTGATAAAAAGCAGGAGAGTCAGGTGTGGCAGTGGCTGAGCTTTGCTGAGAATGAGCTGACGCCGGTGGCCTGCGCTGTGGCCTTCCCTCTGCTTGGAATCATGGGAGTT